CAGAGAGGTTTTACAAATGCAGAAAAGAAAAGCAACTGAGTAGTTCAGTTCCCTCTAAAATGGTCCCGGAATCAAACTCCATCATCAGGAATCAACACTGCTTACCTATTCCTAATAACACCTGCCATGTGTAGGAATCCACCCCTCATGTTTAACAGGTATTTCCTCTGTGGAACTTCAGTTTAACTATCATGGCTTGGATCCTTCTGGGTTGCCAGCAGGTTAGCTGGTGGTTGTGTCTTTTACCTTGTTACATGATTGTCGCTCAATCAAGCGCTTCGTTATGGAATAGCTACTCATTTCTGGACAATTCTTGTTTCCTTTAGGGTCACACTTGACTTTTTCCTAACATTAAAAACTTGTTTACTTACAGTGTCTACATAAAATTTCCAGGAAAAATGTTCCAACATAATGTGGTACTAGAAAAGCCCATCAGTGGGTCAACTGATATATATGAAAGCCATAGTAATTAGTATAAATCAGTGGTTCCCAACCTTTTTGGCACCAGGGACTGGTGCTCCTATGAGAATCTAATGCCTGATGATCTGAGGTGGAGCTGAGGGGGGGGGGTGTTGGGGACCCCTAGTATAAATAGTAAAGCTGAATTCTTCTCTATGTTAAATTATATATTTACATATTATTAATCCAGTATTTACATAAAGGCTGCATTTAACTCAATTCTCTGGTAAACAGTGCTACTGGAATCACAAGTTTGGCATTTAAAGTATATAAGCAACTTAACCATAGTCTTAATAGAGTATATGTGCAAACACAATCCATACTAAACTGATAAATTTCTTACTATTGAATTGAGTCATTCTAGTAGACGGCTATCATCAACTGTTATTCAAGCAATCCCTGTTCTGTTTTGTTCCAAACATCAGACAATCATCATGTTACCATTAGATGAGTGTCATGAATCAATGTGAATCTTAGAAGACTCAAGAAATCAAAAGGCAAACATAGGCTGAAACAAAATTCTTACACAACAAAGCTCAGAAACAGCACAGAGAAAATAAAATCCATGTTTTGGTCTTTTGGCTTCAATACCTCCCCCAAAATGTTCTTTCTACCTTTTAAATATTACATACATAAAACAATGACTCTCAATCATAGCTACATATTAGAATCATTTAGAGATCTTTTAAAAAAATACCAATGACCAGGACCCACTCCCTGAGATTCTGATTTCACTGATCTGACACAGGGCCTGGTAATTGATCTTTCTAAAAAAACTCCCTTGGTAATTCTAATATGCAGCCAGGTGGGAAACCACTATTATAAACTAATACAGCCTTTTGGGACAGTAATTGCTCTGAGATTGATAAACATGCTTTTTGCCTTTTCATAAGATTTTATTAATTTGCTCAATTCATGCCATAGCTAATGAACGACTGTTACATAGCAGGCACTGTGTTAATGGAGAAAGATGTGCAAGATATGTTCCCTGCCCTCAAGAAGCTCCTTATTAGTAGGTAGAGAGTAGTTAAGTAGAGAGACCCATAAATAAGTAACTGTAATTAAATATAAGTGCTCTTGAAGTGTAAGAAAATACAGCATGCCTTACATGTCATCTTTGAGCTGGGGTCATGCTGCAGCATTCCAATTTTAGTATATGTCCTACCAAACTAGGAAAGTCAGAAGTTACAGTTACTAAATACCCGGGCAAGTATTCAGCCTACACAAGGTGAAAATAGTGTGCATTTTGCTATTCTCCTTCACAGAAACTGTTGTACCATGAAAGTAGGAATTTCTATGTTTTAATTTGGATGATTCATCTTAAAATTTCCTTCATGTAATATTACCAATTGTACACTTACCTATAAAACTATACATTTGCAGAATATCTAGTAAGTGATCATGACAAAAATTAGCCAATTACCTATAGTTGCATAACACCTTTCCTTTCCAGTAACTGCTACATTTGCTAAGACAAGAAGTTTTGGGACTATGAAAAGGTCTCATCATTGGTGATTTTTTTCAGTTGTTTGAAAGATGGTATATAGAAAAATGATATGGAAGCAATACACATTCAAAGGAGTTTTTTGGTTAGACTTTCAAAAATAAGAAACACAAGAGAAAAGAGTTCAAATTAAAAAAAAAGAGATGGCATCCATTCAATATTCATAATGAATCAAGCATATGATTCCCTCAAAGATAGTGGATGAGTGAGTAGATAAGTAGTAAGGTAAGAGAGTGAGTGGATAGTCAACTCATCTTTAAAAGTGAAATCTATTTTGAAGTACCTCAGTGAAAATTTAAACCTATTAAGTAAGACCTAGGGGTCAAAACCAACTTGTGATACTAACTCAGCATGAAAGAAAATCACGATTCCAGAGAACTTGGACAGAAATCAACAAAAAGGTTTTCGGTGCAGATGAACATCTCCAAGGCCTTTCTGTTTAAATCCAGAGTTGAACGAATTCTAAGTTAAAATGTATGCTGTCAAGGTCCCTGCAAGAAAATCTCAAGTGAATTTCAATTTCCAGATCAATATATGCTGAGACAATTTACCAGAGAAACCTTCAACCTTTACACAGGGTGAGGAACACTATCATTACACTCTTTACCATGAAGGCTACCCTGAATTCATTATTTCATGGAATGACATAACTGGCACTGACCAAGTTAAATTTTGTAGAATATGAATGAGATTTCACATTCACTGTAGTTAAGGTAGCCAGAGAGTACCCATTACTCAAAATTAGCTTACTCTTCCTCCTTATGTAGCTCTGAAGCAACAAAAGAGATTAATTTAGTTCTATCAAAGCTGTTTCCTGAGAATATTCTATCAATTATAAGTCAGGAGAATATTGATTGTGCTAATGCGATGCTGACCACTTCTTTTTGATATCCAAAGAGATCACACTATCACTCTTACAGACCTCAATGAATCAGAACTAGTAACTAACACTGATTCAATGATGGCTATATTCCATCATCGCAATATAATTAACATTTTAATCTCACAGTTTCCAATTATGACTTTGCTGGCTCATTTAAATCAAATATGACTAAGACATAACAGACATCATTCACTTCTACACACATACAATCATTTGGGGGCTTTGGGGAAACACCCTAATTCACCTTCACTGGGTGCTAGGAATAAAGAAACCAAGGGGATTTTTCTGACATATTTGTCTGTCTAGAGCTTTGCTATTCACACTGGCTATCGAGCACTTACAATGTGGCTAGTCCAACAGAGGAACTGAATTTTGAATTTTATTTTTCATTAAATTTAAATTTAGAGAGAGATACTTGATTCTGTTATTGAAAAACTTTTAAGTATGTTTGGAAGAACTTGGGTATGTGAATCTACTTTTTCATATGCAAATTTTATAAAACCTAGACACAAATCAGGTATTTCTTGTGAAAATTTGGTTTAGTGTCAGAATTGAGATATGTTGCTAGTGTAAAATACACATTGGATTTCAAAGACTGAGTACGAAAGAAAGGCTGTAAATATCTCAATAATTTGGATCTACTGGGTTAAATAAAATATTTTATTAACACTAATTGCATCTATTTGTTTTTAATATTTTAATATCGCTATTAGAAAATTTACATGTGTAAAATTACATGTGGCTCCCATTATTTATCTTTTGGACAGCGCTGCTCTAGAGCACTTCACCAAGGGACACATTTGGATATTTTTCTAGTAGGCAGGCTGGTCATGTAACAAACAATAGGAGCAAGAAGTAACATGTCCTCCTATCAATTGGGTCTGAGGAAAGTGTGTAGCAAGCTGTAGTCACAATTTCACTATGTGAGGCAACACTGTAATATCCCAACATGGAAGGGGAAAAAAATGAGTTATCAGCACTTAAACAAATTGAAATCCAGCATTGCAGACGACTTAAAAGAAAAAGAGCCAACTGCTCTAAGGTCTTGGTTTCATTTTTCAACTGAGGACCTTAAAATAGACAATAAAGCACTGCTTCCAAAAAAGAAGTAAGAATATTTCAATAGCAGCTATCTAGCAATCCTCAATAAATAAGCAAAAATTGCTCTTAAATCTTATCTTCTCAACTTTGAAAGCCACAGGATACACGCTGAACTAGGAAATCAACTTCATATTGCCAGCATTTCCCTCACAAGCAAATTAGCAGGATTGTGCACTTGGAATACTGTTTGACGAGAATGAAAAGGAAACTATTCAAAACAGATTTAAGAAATGGACAATTAGATGAGGAACTGCAGATTTAATTCTCAATTAGCACTGTGATTAATCTGATTCCCTGCTTTTCCCTAGTGTAATTATACAACACAGATGAAAGGATGAGCATTTGGACTGTCAGTTCTATATTCTAGACCAGCCCGGTGACTCAAAGCAGACGGCTCTACCACACTAACCACCATCCCAACAGCAGTCGAGGGAAGCCTCAAACACTGATTTAACAGTCATTGCATAACGAGGCATTAAACATTCTGATCTCCCCAACTCTTTCCACGTTCGTCTACACCAGGTGAGGAATTTGCTGAAACTGAACGCAACCCCTCTTAAATGGCCCCCTCCGATCTGGGCATGGGGTGAACACAAAGGCATCTATCTAATATCCTGCACAATAGACACACACCCGGCAATTAAAATCCCTGGACGTTCTTTCTCTTTTTCCCCACGCAAGCAAAAAGAAATGCAAGCTGCTCTTTTCGTTAATGGTGTGTGGTAAACGGAAGGTAACAATAAACCCAACTGTTCCCAGGAAGCAACTATAAAATCAGTTCGGCCACGTCCCTGTGCAACCGTCAGATAAAATGCAGAAAGCAGATTTCGGCCGGCCCCACGCCTCGTGGGGTGGCCGACCTCGGCTAGTTCGCGTCCACGGATCGCTGGGAACTCCCCAGACCCACACTCGGAAGGAGTTCCAGGGCGGCGGAGGTGAGGGAGGGCAGGGGGCAGGCCCGGGGCAGGCCCGGGGCGGGTGTGGGTGCGGAAGGACCCGGGCATCACTGAAATGCATTTTCCCACACTCCCGCTCCCTCGCGTGGAGACTCACTTGCCGATCACCTCGCACAGCTCGTACACATCCTCGAACAGCACGTCGTCGTCGGCCATGGTCCGGAGGGGACAGCGGCCGCAGCGTGGAGGGCTTCGAAAATGGGGGTGGGGGCGCCAAAGAGCTCAGTGCCCGGCCCCCGACTCGCCTCCTCCCCTCAGGACCCGCG